GGAGATGATCTGGTCTGGCAAGCCAAAATGGGAGAAGACATGGTCATCGAGGAGGCGGGCGTGCTCCTTGCTGGTGGCGGTGGCCACGGTGGGTAAGGCCACTGTGTACTTGGTCAGCCTGTCTACCACTACCAGGATGGAGTCCGCGGTTGCTTTGCCGTCGCCGGTGGTCGACGGCGGCAGTCCCTCGATGAGATCCATGGTGATGGAGCCCCACGGGCGGTCAGGCGCCAAGAGCGGCCGGAGGAAGCCGTAAGGCTTGTGCCGCGGAGATTTGGCCCTAGCGCACGCGGAGCATGTCGACACGTGTTGTATGACGTCCTGCGCGAGCGTGGGCCACCAGAATTGGCGCTGGGTTGCGACGGTCGTGCCGCGGAGGCCCGGGTGTGCTGCCGCGGGCGAGTCGTGGGACAATTGCAGCGCACGCGGCACCAGCGCGGGCGGGATGTACCATTTCCCTTGCGCGGTGAGCCACACACCGGCCTTCTTGGAGAGTCCGAGGGACTCGGCCTTCCCCGGGTCGAGGGAGGCCGTCCCTCGGATCACATCCTGGAGGAACTCGCTTGCGGGCAACAGCTGGTTGGACTTGGCAAAGAGGCCGCGGTCGAGGAGCACCGCGTGGTTGGCCGGATCTGGCTCCGCGGCGCTGTAGTGCTTTCCAGCGTTGGGGTGTAGATCGGAGCGTCGGGTGAGCGCGTCCGGCTTGCCACCGTCCACGCCCGGGCGGTATGTGATCCGGAAGTCGAACTCTCCGAGGGAGAGGCCCCAGCGCGCCTGGCGACGCGTCAGGTTCCGTTTCGTCTGGAAGTACTCCAGCGCTTGGTGGTCCGTGAGGATCTCGAAAGGAGCGGAGATGCCGTGGAGGTAGTGCCGCCACTCCTCGCAGGCTTTGACAACGGCGAGGAGTTCTTTGTCGTGGATCTCGTAGTTGCGCTCCGCGGGGACCATCTGGCGCGACCAGAACGCGATCGGGTGCAGCGTGTGGGTGCGCGCCCGCGGGGGAGAGGCGGCGTGCTCTTCTGCGTTCGGCACCCATTGCGACAGCACGCCGGCAACAACGTAGTCGCTGGCATCCGTCTCCATCACCGTTGGGAGGGACGGGTCGAAGTGCCGGAGCACCGGCGCTGTCGTGAATGCCTTCTTGAGTCGAGTGAAGGCGTCGCGCTGTTCCGCGGAGAGCTCGATAGCGCCCTTCGGTTTGCCGCGGAGGGCGGCCGTGATGGGCGCGACAACGCGGGAGTAGTGGCGGATGAAGCGCCGGTAGAAGTTGGCAAAACCGAAGGAACACCTGTATGTCGTGGATGCTCCGCGGTTCGGGCCATTCCGTGATCGCCTCAACCTTCTTCGGGTCCATCGTCACACCGCGGTTGGACACGCGGTATCCGAGGAACTCGACCTCATCCTGGAAGAACTCGCACTTGCCAGGTGCGCAGTAAAGCCGATTGGCGCGCAGTCGGTCGAGGACAGCGCGGACGTGTCCCGCGTGGTCCTCGCGGTTCTTGCTGAAGATGAGGATGTCGTCGAGGTAGACCAGGACGAAGACGTCGAGGAGGTCCCCGAGGACCTCGTTCATCAGCGCCTGGAACGTCGAGGGGGCGTTGCAAAGGCCGAAGGGCATGACGAGGTACTCAAAGGAGCCGTACCGCGTGCGGAACGCTGTCTTCCACTCATCGCCAGGGGCGATGCGGAGCAGGTTGTAGGCTCCTGCGGAGGTCGAGCTTGGTAAAGACTACCGCGCAAGCCAGCCGGTCCAGCTGCTCCGAGATCAGGGGGATGGGGTAGCGGTCCTTGACCGTGACGCTGCCAACGGCTCCGAGGCGCGCATTTTCGCATTTCCGATTTCCGAGCATTTCCTGTATTTTAGCCTCGCGCGCGCGCGCATCCCCCCTGCCAGCGAACCACCACCTTCCGAATCCAGCTTCCCTTGCTTTGGCTCGTTTTCAGTTTGGAGACCCCTACGGGGAGTGATCACCATCACCCGTTTGCTCCTACGCACCAACGACCTGTAGCAGCTCTCTCGGCCTACTGTAGTGCTCCATCGATTCGACTCTGCGCAGGCTTTCGACGAGCACGCGCGCGCCTCGCCACCGATCCATCGCAGTACCTCCTCGCAGCTCGCAGTTCCTCCATCCGGCCCCGCCTCGTAGTGACCCTTCGCATCTTGCAGATCCTCCTCAGTCCTGAGCCGGTTTCGCATCCCTCGCATCCGTCGCATCGTCGCTTCCGACCGAACCGACCTATCCTGCGGCTCAAACCGTAGCGGCTACCGCTCCCCCGTTCCGCTCCACCCTGCGCGCTACCTCGCTCGCAGCGGCTACTTTTCGCGATCCAGCGCATGCAGCGCTCCTCCTCACCTTTGACTCCGCTGCCGTCTGAGACTCCGAGTCCAGCTCTATCGTCGCCGCGACCGACTCTTCAACGGGCTCAGACCTCGCCAGGCCGTATCCGAGTTACCGACAACGAAGCAGAGGCCACCGCCGAGGCCGAAGCTGCAGCTCTCGCACCGCTACTCCGTGCGCCTCGACCAGCCACCCGCAAGCGCGAGTACGCCAGTATAAGTAGGCCGCCGCCTTTGGTCTTCAACCCAGTTGACCACTCGACCCGTCCGGTTGCTCGACTCCCCGCTCCTCGGCTTCCAGCATCGCGGCTTCCGTCCTACGGGTCCAGCCAGGCCGTCGCTGCGGTGGCAACGCCGTCTCGTCTCTCGCCGGTCCCTCTCCCCGAAGCTCGACTTTCGACGCTTGAGCTCGCAGCGTCGATCCCTCTTCCACCTTCGTACCACTCGACTCCTGCGCCGACAACCTCGACGCTCTCCGAGCCTCCTTCCCTTCGCTCTCGTGAGCCCACGGGCCAATCGACTCTCTCCATCGTCTCCACTGCGTCACTCCCAGGCGCGCCGTTCCCACTCGACAGCCGCACCTTCCGACACCTCCGCCGCGAGGCATTCCAGGCGACCAAGGAAGCCCTCCGTGCCGCCCAGCTCGAGCTCAACCGCGTCATGGCCAAGTACGAGGACCGTCTCGAGCGCGAGCGCGAGCGCGACCGCCTGTCGTTTGGGGGCATGCCGGCCCCGTACCGCGGCAAGCCCGTTGAGCAGCCAGCCCGTAAATGGCTCCGCCAGTTTGAGCTCTACTGTTTGGATCGCAAATACGACGATGACGGGAAGAAGGCCCTCGTCTTCAAGCTCCTAATGGAGGACGACGCCGAGACGTGGTTCGATGGGCTCGATGTGAGCACGCAGGCGTCGTTCCAAGCACTCGAGAGGGAGTTCCTTAGCAAGTACGGCGACGAGGCCATCGACGGCTACAGCTTCGGTGCCTTCCTACGCTTCCAGAGCAAAGCCGCTGAGCTCAGCAAGTACGACATCATCAAGGACAAGAAGGGCTATGACAAGTTGCTCGACGAGATCGCCGCTGCCGACCGACGAGTCAGCAACAAGCACGTCGTTCAAGGCTTCCGCGCGGAGCATCTTATCCACGGCTTGCCCCGCGCTGTCCGTCAGACCGTCGCCCTTCCTGGCACCACGACCAACGTAGCAGACGTCGTCGCGGCGATGCGCAAGGTTAATCACCCGCAGCTCATGGAAGCCATCGACGAGGAGCGTAAGATCGGCCGCATCGGTGAACTCGAGCGCATCGAGGAGTCGTGGGACTACGTCAAGCGCACGGCTGACAAGTACGCCGAGGTCGAGGTCGACGTCGACCAGATGCGCCACTTTTGGCAGCAGTCCGCGCCGGTCCTCGTCCCCGCCCAACGCCGCATCGGCGATGGCTCGTACCCCTCTCAGCCCAACGGCCCCCCTGCTCCCTACAACGGTGTCGGCCCAAGCTACCGACCGAGTCCGCCTCGCCAACGCCCGGCTCCCTATCCTCCGAGTCCAACTCCGTCACCTACGCGTCCTCTCGCTTCGCTCTCCGCTCGCGAGCGCCTCGCAGTTCTGCTTCGCAATGGCCAGAGCACGCACCCGGATACGCCTGACGGTCACAGGGTCTACGAGCAGAAAAAGGCGGCCTACCAGCAGCGCCACCCGCGCACCGTCTCGCGCCCGACCACGGAGGATGAGTTCCCGCTCGCACCAGGCACCGAGCCGGCCGACGGCACTGAGTGTCACCGTTGTGGTCACCGCGGCCACCAGCAGGCGTCGTGCACCGGTACGCCGCTCACGCAGGCGGAGATCTCCTTCCGCAACGACCTCGGTAGGGACATCAACTACGCGCGACGTGCCCTCGGACTGCCGTCGGGAAACTGAGCGGTGTAACGGTCGACCTAGCGAGTGCGCAGAAGATTGTCCGAGGGGCGGAGAAGTCTCTGCGCGTCGGAGGGCGATCGCTTCGGTGCTCCCGTCAGAGGCGCGAGCGAGGTTCGGGAACGGCGGGTTGATACCGAGGGCGGCTGTGAGCACCGTTGGCAGGCGTCCACGGTCAAGGGTGACTACGGAAGTGAGCTGGCGATGGTGATCTGTCGATAGGCGTCGTAATTGCTAGACAACGGTAGCCTCGGGCTCTCACGTCGATGGAAGACGAGCAAGCGGTGAGGACTGGTATTGACTAGACTGGATGAGAGGCATCCAGTCTACCGACGCAGAGGAGGACTAGGCTATATACTGTCTACCTACGGCGTCGAGGCATCCCTGCCTCGACCAATCAGAAATGGCCTCTATTGTCCTATTGTCCTCCATTGTCATCCCAGGGCGTTGCTCCGAGGTGGGACGCCACCGTCGTGCCCGAAGCCTAGCCCTTGACCCTCGGTGCGGATCCGAAGCATCCTCCTGCCAGCAGGAGCAACTGCGGATCCGCACGGTGCGTGCCGACGTCTCCCAACGCGCAGAGGATTGCTGGCGGCCCGATGATTCCTCTCCGCGGCCGCGCGGAGAGAATTCACCTCGGCTCCGGAAATCCTCTGCCCCGCTGGCCCGCGCCGCTCAGCCCCGATTGGGCCAGGGCTGTGACATTACCCCCCCCTTTCAGAGCTGAGCTCCTGCGAAGCGGAAGACGCCGCGCGGCCCTTTGTGGAGGGAGACGCGGCCCATTTGGGCTTGCCTCCCACCACCACCATCTCCCAATCCGCCAGCACCATGTCCAGCCGTTACTCCCGCCCTACCGACGAGCTCGTTGCGCTCGGCCCGCACGTCTACGACCCCTCGACGATGACCGAGGTCGACAAGGAGTGCATCCTGGTCGACTGCTGCGAGTACGTCGATTGGCACTGGGCGCGTTCGCCGTTCGGTGCTGCGGCCCGCCGCGACTTGGTGGCTGGTATCCGCCAGCAGGACAACTGGAAGGTGCGGTACGAGCTTGCCGCCAAGCACGAGAAGGAGGAACAAGCCCGAGCGGAGGCCCGCAGCCTGCTCCTTTTGCGTGAGTGAGCCGTGGTCGCGTCGTCGCCGCGGAGATGGGAGTTGCTGTGCGTCGGAAGGCCTTCCTCCGCTGACGCCTCTCTTGTCCCCTGGTCTCTTGCAGTACGAGACGCCTGGCGACTGGGTGCTGTGCGCCTCCGCGGCCGCGCAGCTCAAGTACGGTACCGCGCCGCCTGCCTTTCACCTGGACCACGGGTTCCTCGACCTCAAGCAGCAGCTCGCCTTGAAGCTGTCGGTGCTGCGCGAGGAATGGTGGGAGCGTGCTTCCGTGGCTCTCGACGAGGCCCTCCTCGCGTGTGGGGTCAAGAAGCGCTCCCCGCTAGAGGCCAAGATTCGGGCGCTCGACGCCATGGCCTCGCTGGAGGACTCGGCCAGCGCCTCGCGCAATGGCCCGGCTCCGATCGACACCGACGGCATCTCCGGCGACGAGGCGACTACCGCGCCGGAGGAGACCGCCGCGCCGGCGTCGAACGCAGCCGCCACCGCCGATGGTCCCGTCGTGGCGGCCGATGACGGCGCTCAGCCTGCGGCTTGGGGCAGCGGCGTCGAGGAATCCGCGCCTTCCGACGCGCCCGGCCTCGACTTCCTCTCCAGCGTGGCCGCGGTGACGGCGCCCAAACGCAAGGCATCGTCGTACCCGCTCCCCGAGGCTAGGCTGCCGTCCGCGAAGAGGTTGGCTCCCGATGCCCCTCGCCAGAAGAACCGCGTGGTGGTGAGTGCCGGATTGCGGAGAGGGGTGTTGCGAGGCCAGGACTCCTCTGCGCAAGGTTGACGCCCGTGTCCTCCCGTGCTCTTTTGCAGGCTGGCCACACGATGGCCGAGGTCATTGCCTACGCCCACGCGAGGCCCGTGACGACGCTGCTGGCGGAGGTGCGCCTGGACTGCCTGTCCCCCTGGATATTGGAGGCCAAGATCTTCCTCTCCCGCGTCCAGCTGCACGTTGGTCGCCGCTGGAACGAGCTGCCCCAGCATCGTCGGGAGCGTCCTGTGCCGTGCGACAATTGCGTCCGCCTCGGCATCAAGTGAGTCTTGCTCGGGTTCGGAATCTTGTCGCAGGCCAGCAGCTGACCTCTAGCCCCTTCGTTGCCGGCAGGTGCTTCGATATGGTGGTGGCCAACCCGCTCCTGCCCAGCAAGAAGCCCGTCCTGTCCTGCACCGGCTGCTACGAGCGCCGCAAGGGCTGCGTGGCTGCCTCGGTGCTTCCCTCGGGCTGCGCAAGCTGGGAGCAGCGCGACTGCTGGGGCGAGCGCCCCCTTGACCAGCTCACGGGCGAGCAGAGGACGCTTGCCCTGCGCAACCACACCGCAGGCGCGGCGGCCGTCCGCGAGAGTGACGGCAGTGGCGTTCCGATGCCCTTCGCTCTCGACCTGCTGGCGGCGTACTACGCCCAAGGACGTGTCGAGGACGCGATCCTCCGTCTTGCCGACGGCCTGCCGAGGGGGCAGCTGCCGGTGCGCCTGCCGCAGGGCATGGCGCAGGACATTTGCGTGAGCATCGTCGAGGAGAGCGATGCCCAGGTGGCGGCGGCTGCAGAGCGCGAGGGTGAAATGGTGGCGACTGAGCCGGAGGCGGGTCCCTCGAGGCCCAGGACCCGCGCATCGCAGGTGTCGGTGGCGGAGGAGGTGGACGACGACGAGGACGACCTGTACCTGGAGGAGTAGGCAACAGCGCTGCGTGGCCCTTGCCCTGACCGTGTGTGCTCGTATCTGACTGTGTAGGCGGGCGGTGCTGCAGTGGTGGAGGCGCCGGCGCCGCCGTCTGCGGAGAGAGTTGTAAACCGTGGCATGAAAGCTCTGCGCACCTGTGCGCAGAGAAATGCAAGGCGGGGAATAAATCCTCTGCGCGCCAGCGCGTCGAGAGGTGCCGCCGGGCCCAGCCTCGTTCTCAGAGGCCACGGCTGGCCTGCTGCCTGGCCCAATACTCCGCCACCCTCCCGTCGGCGTTGAGGTCCTTGGCCTTGACCCAGCTGGCCTCCTCCTCCGGATAGCCACGCCACAACACGAGGTACTCCTGGCGCGACCGGGAGCCTCGGTGGTCTAGGATCGACTCCACCTCATAGTAGTCGGCT